GCTCTTTCTTTCCAGAGGAGCTTATGCTGACTAAGAATTGATCTCATGAAGCTTTCATGGGGTACCCCAGAGTCTCTCTGTTGTGATACCTCGGAAAAAAGGAAGGAAATGTAAGGGAATAAAGAGGATCTTGGGATGGAAGTAGCATCCTCCAAATATAAATTGTTTTTCCCTGACAGCAAAAAAATATAGAGTGTCTGGGATATTTCTTGGTGATCTGCAGTTAAAGTACAAGGCCAATGATGTATTGGTGCAAATCTAAAGCTCAGGTGGCCTTTCTAGGAGAAGCAGCAAGCCAGGAAGCAGTTTGCAGTATTAGTCTTTCCAGTACCTTCTGAAAACTGGTTGGTCTGGGCCCTGTGTCATATAAGAAGATAAAATGTTGCTCTGAGTAGAGAAGTCTTTAGACATATTTAGGTATACATGAGTTTACTTCATTTGATTTCAAAGGCCTAGAGTTTGCGGGCTGTGTATGAATCAGTAAAAGGAACTGGGCTGAAAGCAGGCACCAATGTATGAATCTCAGGTACGTGCACAGATGGGGGGTGCCCACAATGTTGTTAATATGTACATATGTTGTCATGTGGCAGCATAGGCGACTGGTAGGGGGTGCACGTGTCGTCCCCCCCCAACCAGATGGCTGACACCGACACTGTCGGCAGGGCGGGTGCCCCTTCCGCCCTCCTGACAGGGCTGCTACCATTGGTGGCTTCTGCAGGTGCTTCTCCCCCCACCCCTGATTCAGGAAGCTCATGTGTGGCAGGAGTTGGTAATTGTACTAGATACTCTGATTACTACATTGACAGTAGGTTTCAATAGCTGCCATTTTATCCCTGGCTAATTTTTGTGACGCACTCACTGAATGTACTGATTTTTTTTTTGGTAATAATTCACTGTTCTTGTTTTAATGGCAACTTTTTGTATTTGTTTGTTGCTGTTGTCTCCTAGCTTTGTTGCTGGATCTAGTCCTGGTGGCAGTGGTGAAAGGGCTCGTGAGGAGAAGGCGCCCCACTCACAACAAGATGGACATGTTTGTCACCGTTTCTGTGGACAAATACTCCTTCCCATCAGGCCATGCTACCAGAGCTGCTATGGTGTGCAGATTTGTTCTGCACCATCTGGTGTTGGCCATTCCTCTGCGGGTACTGGTGGTACTGTGGGCTGTCATCGTCGGCATCTCCAGAGTCATGCTGGGCAGGCACAACGTGACAGATGTAGCCTTTGGGTTAATCATGGGTTACATGCAGTACAGTGTAGTGGAATATTTCTGGCTGTCACCCCTCAGTGTACCTACTCTCTTTGCACTGTGGAGTCACTGAGGGCCACCATGAAAAGGAAACTGCTTGTGGTCTAATGCTTCTCACTGTGAACAGAGAGCATGGACAGGACTAGATGAAAGTGCATCATAGGCCTCATTCGATCAGCAAGGCTGATGATACCAGCCATGTTTCACTTTGGCTGGAGGAAGAGAGTCCAATTGGAAAGGTATAGTTGGTGCTGTTCTTGCTCCCTTAACATGCTGCAGGGCTCAAGCATGTACTAGCCCATATGATTGCACTGACCATTCCAGAATGAGATTATTCCTTGTCTCCTGGTGCTGGGGAAGTCTGAGGGAGATTTGCACACCAGCCAAGCAGCCCATTCCTATTTCCTTAGTATATAAGAACGCACACCAATAGGATCTGTAGTCAGGAGCAAAGCTGTCAAATGGCATGTGGCACAGTGTGCCTGTTGTATAGCCAAAGTACTAGCACATACAGTATAAACATAGATGTGACTTCTAACAAAAATCTGTAGGTGTTTACTTGTCTTTCTGTGTGCTGTAAATATACTTAACTGGTAGGTGCTGCTGTGCCTGACTGTGATAGTGTGCATGTGCCTTGTAGCAGCTTCTGTCCAGTTTGACTTGAGAGACTCTGCCTTTTTGTGGATGCTTTCCATGCACCACTTCCTCTGACTTGAGATTGCCAGGGTTTTGTTATCACATTTGTTCTCCTTGAGCAGCTTGCTCATCTGGCCTCCTACCTTCAGTAAGTTATAGATTCTTGTTGCATTATGGAAAGCTGGCTAGAAAAGTGCAGCCTTCCTGCTGTGAGTACTTTGGCAATTGTAGGGGAAATATAGTGTCTGAATGGGGTTTACTGAAGTGCATAATGAGTGTACATAGCTGGGGCATGTGCGTGCCTTCTCCTTTGGTCAGCGTGCAGTGTGATGCACTAAGCTAGATGAGTTTTGCCTAACAGCTGCTAAAGCTGAGTCCACATTCACATGTTCCTTCTGTCATAGACTGAGAAGATTCCCCTATATATTCACTAGTTACTTTTACCTGTGGTCACGAGGCAAACAATATGCAAATAATAATCCAAGCCATTCGTGGGTGCACTATCCAGACTTTTCATTTGTAAAATGGAGATGTGGATCTCCTTTGTGAAGCATGTTGTGATTGAAAATATAAAAAGAGCTACTTTAAGTGCTAGAATTGCTATTATTTAGAAATAAATTCTAATTATACCAGCACTTACCTCAGTTCTGTATCTCTACAAAAGGTGTTTAGATGCTTGAGTACATAAGTTGTCTCTCAGGCTTCGTGGGCTTGTTTTTATATGATAAGGGAAGGGTGGCACCTTTAAAAACTAACTAGTTTCACCTGCCTGACTTCAGACTAACATGACCAAAACACCTCTGTGAAATTTAGATGCATTGTTTCTAACACTGCCACCTCAATGGTGGACATATATGAACATTTAAGAAAGAATATAAATATGTAAGGGTAAGGAATCAAAATTAAGCAATAATAGCCAGAGGGGCCAAAAATATTTCCATAGAGCAAAAGTTAAAAGATCTTTTGAGTATGAGGGACCTTTACTAAAAAAAAAGCTAATCACTCTCTTTGCATTATTAGTGCTGAGGAAATACTTAGTACAAAGCGTATTCTTTTGGTGAGAGAAGAGCAAGACCATGTCTAAAATAAAGAGAAATTGTATTGTTAAAAGCCAGAGTTTTAAAAGGTATTTAGGCACCTGCCTCCAGTTTAATTTATCCAGAGTTCTGGAAGAAAGATTGGCATAAGTTTAAGTTCAAAGGGAAGAAGAATCACATGCTTTGCTGTGTCCTTTATGACTGACCCAGGAGAACAGTCTCTTTCCCATATCAAAAAAGTTAAAGGTCTGGCCACACCAGCAGCTCAGTGGGCCAGTTAAAGCACACCAGGTTGTATAACTGACACAGCACAGGGATGTGACATGGCCGGCATCCTATCCAGCCCCTTTAACTCCTCCACCTGGATGACCAGCATCTCTTTACGGTTGGGTCTACTAGGGGATGACCTTTGGCACAAAACCAGATTGAGGTTCAGACCCTTGGCTTTGGGGTCAGTGAGGTGCCTTCACTGCTCTGCCTCTGCTTCTCTCCCTATTCCTGTAAGGCTTATGAGGAAAGGCTGAATGAGCTAGGGTTATTTAGTCTGGAGAAAAGAACGCTCGTGAGGGATTTGATAACACTTTTCAAACACATGAAGGATGAGTAGAATGAGGGTGGAGGTGGGCTTTTCTCTTGGGCCTCAGGGGCCAGGACTAGGAATTATGAATTCAAGCTGCAGCAGAGAAAGTTTAGATTGGAGATTTCTAACTGGGTTCAACGCTGATTTTTAAAGTAGTGCTGTGTGCACTTGCTTCTGAGTGTCGGCAGCCTTCTAAGGTTTTACACTCACATTTTTTTTTCTCCCCAGTTGCATGGCAGATTTTCCCCCTTAATGCTTCAAAATTAGCTGATGGAATCTTGTGGGCCACACTATCAAATGGATTGATACTGCAGAAATCTGTGGTACTGCAGAACTTCCACCATAGATGTCAGTACTGCTCCATTCTTTACCCAGCTTAGAAAGCCAATGGAGGCTGTCAAGCAAATCATGGAATTCAGATCTAGTTGGCCTTGTCCTTACGACCCTTTTTGAAAGAATGGGAAGTTATGACTACGAAAGTAATTGTGGTTGTTAACTAATCTCTACAAGTATCTTCCTGTGTGACTTTAGGAAGCGTTAAATAAACTGTGAGTCCATCAGCCATTCTCAGAGGAAAGGCAACTGTGGGAGTGTAAACTAGTCAATGTGGAAAGTGAATTAAAGTAGTTTGGGCTTTGGTCCTTGCCACTTTTTGTTGTTTTAAATTAAATTTATTTGTTAAATGCTTTGCTTTTTACCTGCTTGTGTGGACTGGGGAAAGTAAACCCGACTGTGCAAAGTACTGTTGCATGTACACAACTCATTCCGTGACAGCAGTCGTGCATGCCACTGATTAAGCTTGAAAGCAACATTTCAAAAAGCAGTATGCTTTTCTTTTCTTTTTTTTAAGGTTGAAGGCATCCTTTTAACAAGCCTTGATGTTAATTTGTTTGACCTTTACCTGCAGCATAACTCATGTCTTTTAATCATTATTTAAAATGTTTGGTATGAATTTAAAAGACCTATTCTGATTCATACTAGTTGGTGCCTTCACCCTCTGGTTGACTAACCTAATCTTGTACAAAGGTAGTAACTTTAGATCTCTTGCTAGAAGATGGTGGATTATAGAAGAATAGGAGCTGGTTTCCCAGTTTAGTAAAATCACTATGGTGGCATAAAAGTCAGCCTGGGGAAGCAATCCGTAAGGGCATTCCCTCTTCCTTCCTTCCTTCCTTTTTCTTCCTTCTCTCCCCCTCTTCATTCCATTCCCAATGGAGGGGTTGAAAACAGGAAGGAGGGGGCAGGCTGGAGTCCATTGTTTTGCGTCTTCTCACCTTAGAACAATGGTTCTCAGCCTTTGTTGGACTCAAGCCACCCATGGAAAATGTCAGCTCCTTGTTTTCACTTGTTTTTTTTACTATAGAAAAATAATAAAATAAATCTTCTGTTGCAGAGAACTCAGAAAACACCACAGGTCTGAATGTTTTTAATGCTCACAATTCCTATTTGAAATCTGTGGGTTTATCTTGTGAATCATGTCTGTACACCTAACAGTGTGGTACTTGTAGCACCTTTGAAAGGATCTCAAGGCACCCCAGGATACCAAGGCACCCTAGTTAAGAATCACTGGGTTAAAGCAATCTTGAAGATACTCTAATTTACAGCAGGGACAATGGCAACCTTAGATTATGGGGCTTGTCAGGATGTCTGACAGATATTTTCTCTCTGCTTTCTGTTCCTATGCTTCGCTCAGGAACAGTCTGTCTGATGTTGGGGGCTTTATTGTATTCACAAAGAAGAAAATGTGGCTTAAATTATGATGCTGACATCCAGTTCCTTTTAACAGTTTTTTAAGTATGTGTTTAAGTCCAAAGGTCAATACTGTATGCTCTGATTTTTTTTTTCTTTTTTTAACTGACCTCACTTTGTAATGCTGTAAAAGCTTGAAAATAAAGTGTTTCACTACTCAGCTCAACACTGTTAGCTTAGTGGATTAAGCTCCTTCTTGTTTTTCTTCTGAAATGCACATAGCAGCACTAAACTTCCTGATCCATTCAACACGTGCCTGATGGCTGCTCAGTTCTGGGGACTATACAACTCAATTCCTTCTGTTATGTAACGTTGCTTCCTGTCTAAGCAATGCTAATTTCTCTATCTGGGGATCAATGTTTTTAACTTTTTATTGTGCTCTGGCACATTGATATAAGCCAGCTAATTTTAGATGGGATCAAAGATCAGGTCTTACAAGGCTGACAGCAGATGAGAGCTTTGAGAGATGTTTTCTTTAGCAAAGATCTTGGCCTCAATGAAATGTTCTTGGTGCTGGTTGTAGGAGAGATGCAGGCATCTTGTTTTTTATTTTAACTCAACCACATACTGCCCCCTTTGAACCACTCCTCAGGACCCCCCTCCTTCACCCATTGTATACAAAATTCTTGTCCTTCAAGGGTCTTCACAATTTAACTCTCTTTTCTTATCCAGTGGCTTATCCACTGTACTCGGTCACTTCTTGCTGTGCTTTGCCTTGCCAGTATCATTGTTTTCTATCACAAGAATATTTGAACCTTCTATGGTGCCCCTTTTTGCAGGGAGCACCCCACCAGTATTAGTTAACAGTTACTATTCTCTTAAGAGTTACCTGTACTGACCAAACCAAACATGACAATGGTAAAGACCCTCTGAGGCCTCCTACAGATGCCTTTAGCTAGGATTATCAGCATCTCCTCACATTCCTGTTGCTGTTCCGGTTCCCCTGTTGTCCTTTATGTTCTTTCCTATATCTTATGCGTCTTGAAACTGTGCTTCTGGGAGCAGAAACAGTTCTTAATTGTATGTCTCTATAGTGCCTGGCATTCTGAAACCCTGATTGGGCTGGGACCCCCAGGTGCTGCTGAAATGCACAGAAAGAAAAACACGCAGCCCATTTACCAATGAGCATCACACATGCTGGAACTTGCCATCAATTTCTGTGCTAGAAGATAATTAGAAGTGTACTTATTCTAAATCCTTGAGGCAGCTCACCTTAGTGCAAGACCCATTGTGAATCGGACCAGTATGTGCTCAAAGCTAGTTACCCTACATGTTTATGAAGAGTGCATTATTTATCGCAGTGACCATGCCATGTATATTACTGTGGAGAGGGAGAGCTATTGTCCCCTCTCCAGCCTCTCTGCCTCTAAACAGAAATAAAGGCAACTTTAAGATAACCTAGCCAGTAGCTATGTGATGCTATCAATTTATAGGGTATTTATATGTATTCCATCTGAATGTGGTAAATGACATAATGTTTTTCAGCTCTTCCTTAGTTTTGTCTCCATGTGATTTCTCACCAAGAATGGGAATACAGATTCATACACAAACATATATAATGTATATTTTTCAGTGTGCTGTGACAATGGTTCTGGTGTCTCAGAACTTTATTTGTAATAAAGGATCAGAAATTTAAACTTACTATGATTTGTATGGTCTGTATATTTTCTTTTCTCCAGGATGCTTCTCCTGCTTTGCCTAAGTATAAGGCATGGGTGACTGGTGCCTCCTGAAATTGGAGGGGCACAGTGTGTGGACAGCAGCATTGGGGTGGTGAGCGGCGACCACCTGCAAAAGCCAGGTGGGGAGGAGGGACTATGGCAATTGGCAGCCACCCATAGAAACCAGCGGCAGTGTTAGCAGTGGTGGGGTGGGGTGGCAAGTGGTGACTACCTGCAGAAGCCATCAGTGGCAGGGTGGCAAGCGGCGACTGTCTGCAGAAGTCAGTGGCATGGCAAGCAGTGACCACCCGCAGAAACTGGTGACAGTTTTGGCAGCATGGGGGGGAGGGGGTGGCGAGTGGGGACTGCCTACAGAAGTTAGCAACAGCGACCTATCTCAGGGGGGACACATGTCACCCTGTGCCCCCCTACCAGTTGCCTATGGTATAAGGTAAAGTAAATGTACCTTTTAGCTTGAAAACTCTTTAAGAACAGCTGCTTTGTTCCTTCTGAGGCTCCTCTACAACTATGCTGCCTCCTGCATTTGTAAGGAACATGTTTGAGGCCTAAACATAAGTGCCTACGTCCTTTATACTCTATTGTATAAAGAAAGGAACTGTACATCATTGCTGTAAATGTATAACTAAAATAATATAAATTCTGGTTTAACTTTGTCTAAAGACAGGTTTGCATGGCCAGATTCCATTTTTTGCTGAGCTAAACAGGAAAACACTGAGTGCGTCTATATATGATATTAATGTGATGCAATAAACTCCAGTGCAGTTCACGCCACAGTTTATTGCTCCCAGGTGGAGCATTTACACGTGCACCCAGGACTGCAGCATGAGCTGGGGTGAAGGACCCCTACCTAGCAGGGTCTAGTGGGGAGAGGCTACAGACATGCAGGCTCTCTCCACTGGATCTGCTGCAAAGTGGAGCTTGATTTCCACCCCTTTTCCCCCTCAACCAAACAGTGAATGTCTCTTGGGTCAGGAGGGGAGTTGCTGTAACTCATGGCAGTTTCTGTGAAGCATAATGAATTACAGCAGGGAACGGTATGTCTGTCAGCACCCCATGTTACAAGGCAGAAGAATCTCTTTTAAGTAGGCTGTTTAAACAAAGAGACCAACAATTTACCCTATTTACTTTTGCATACTTATTAACACCTGAACACAGTGTGCAAGAGGCTAAGGGGGATTCCAGTGTACCCACATTGCACAAAAATTCATGAGTACAGAAAGGAGGGGATAATTAGGTCAAGGTAGATTGAATAGTTTTTCTGGGCACCCAAAAATCCCATGGTGAATGTGCAGCTTGAGAGTGACCAGTAGACTTAATGCTCTACCCATCTCTCTGGCCCAATGAGAGTTAGTGAGGAAATGAATGGGGAGCCCCTGCCATCCTCCCCAGACCCCTACTTATGTCTCCAGTCCAGTGCTGTCCACACTTCCTACCCTGTAGTGGAACAGGGAAGTGTTGCTGCAGCCTTCTGGCATCTGCATGCAACCACAGCAGTTTTGAGGCATTTCAATTGGAGGGCACTATAGGAGGCTGCACAGGTGTCTGTGCCTAAAACAATCCCCTTTTGAAATGTTTCCAAGGCTATTATGCTTAGGAATGTTTCAAAAGTTACTTCTGTCAGTGCTCATTTCTGGGTTTTGCTCTGGTTATAGATTGGAAATTATCTCTGTCTGTATTCAGGAAGGCTGTGTGCTCCAGTGGACAGAGCACTGAATGGATAAGAGACTTGGGTTCTGTTCCCAGTTCAGCCCATGACATGCCCTGTACCCTGAGGAAAGCTTCATACCCTCTTGGTGATTTTTTCCCCTCTTTCTGTTTTTTGTCTATCTTGTCTACTGAGACTGTAGGCTTTGCAGAAAAGAATTCCTCTCGCTGTAATTATAGAGCAGCCAATACAATGGAACTATGAGGGTTGACTGGGCCCACTGGGCATGTCAGTAATGCATGTTGGATCATAGGAAAGTATGGCTAAAAGGGAGTTTATGAGGTTGTCTAGTCCAGCCCTGTGCTCAGGGCAGGATCATCCTCTGACCAAACCAGACCAAACCAAACCAAACCACTCAAGGGTCTGTCTAACCTGCTCTTGAAAATATCTAGGTATGAAGAATTCACAGCCTTTCTAGGTGGCCTGTTTCAATGCTTAACCACACTTGTAGTGAGGAAGTTTTACCTAATCTCCATTCTAAATTTCATCTGTTGCAGTTTGAGGCCATTGATCCTAGTTTTGTCCCCTGTATCCATAGAAACTAGACTCTCTCCATCTTCCTTGTAATTTCCTTCAGGTATTTGAAGATTGTTACCAGATCTCCCCTCAGTCTTGTCTTTTCAAGACTAAGTAATCCTAGCTATTTCAGCCTTTCCTCATAAGTCATGTTTTCCAGGCCTTGAATTGTTTTTGTTGCCCCCACTGGACTATTTCTAATCTTTCCACATCTATCTTGAAGTGTGGGGCCCAAAACAGGAAACAAATATTCCAAGTGAGACCTCACCAGCACCAAGTAGAGCAGAAGAATCACTTTCCTTGATTTGCAAGTGACACTCCTATTAATACAACCCAGTATGCTGTTGACTTTTGTTCCATCAAAAGTACAACATTTGCTCATATTTATCTTATGGTCCACTAACCTCCAGGGCATTCCTTATAGCGCTATAGCTTAGCCAATCATTCCCCAATCTGTATTTGTTCATACAGTTATTCTATCGTAAGTGCAGGACTTTGCACTTGTCCTTATTGAATTTCATCTGATTGATTTCAGACCATTTCTCCTGTTTATCCAGGTCATTCTGTATCTACCCAACTGGGATACTTCGACAAATTTGCTATGCATGCCCTTAATCCCATCCTTGAAATTATAAATGAAGATGTTAAACAAAACCAGACCCAGAACAGACCCCTAGGGAACCTCACTTGATGCTGCCTCCCAACTAGACATTGAGCGATTGATAACTACTCATTGAGCATGATGATCTGAACAGTTAAGTATTCACCTCATCTAGTTTCATTTGTATTCCCTCAGGTTATTAATGACAATGTTGTGGGAGACAGCATCGAAAGCCTTGGTAAAATCAAGACATACCACATCCAGTGCTCTTCCCCCATCCTTAGAGCTTGTTACCATATCTGCTATAACTGTAATAAGTTAGAATGTAATAACAGTCTATCCTGTAGACTGACTTTATGATAATAATGGCTCCTTTTCCCACCTCTTCCCAAACTCCTGGCAGGCCTTGTTGCCTCCAATGTGACAAAGGAGACATCAATGAAACTGAGTGGTATTTTCTGCCATAGATCCAAAACAAGAAGGATTGGAAGAGAAAGAGTGTGAACCTTCTTCAAACTGTCATGAATCTGAGGTATAATCAAAAAGGACGCAGGAAAATCCATGCCGGCGTAGGTAGGAAGGAGAGAGAGGACAGAGATGGCATCATGCAACATAGCAACCTGCCACCAGGAACAGATACAGAAGAGCAGATCCCAGACACGATGCATTCCTTCATGGGGGAAAATTGTACTCACCTCTGAGGTCAGTCTGTTATTCTTTGGCAATGCTTATATGGCCTGTCACAGCTCTAGAGTCTCCTTGTATTGGGACCTTGAAGTATTTGAGGGGAAGGAAGGTTTCTAATGTTGGAGAAGCTGTGCAGATCCCAGCCATGATGGTGAGGTCTCTTCTTTGAGTTTAAATGTCCTTGTAGACAAGGGTTGAATTTCCTTCTTTTACATCACTTTTTTTCCATCTGCCTTCCATGATGGTGTTTTAGTCAGGGTGGGCCAAAGCCAGGATTTCAAGCACATTTGTCTAGTCAGAGTCGGCTGGCTTCATCTTCTCAGAACTTCTGGAAGAGCCCAGCCTGACTTGCTAGAGATGACCCAGTCCCAACAGAAGCCTATGTGAGGTTTGACAACACCAACAAAATGTAGATCCCAAAACCCAAAAACAAAAACTTAGAGGGACAGCCAAAGAACTCGCAATTGGAAGCCTCCTTTGGATATTGCAACTCTCCTGTCTGGTTTCAGCTTGATAGCTATTGTTGCTTTGAGCCATGGGTAAGCATAAAATGAATACCAAGGATTACATTTCAGTCTTTTCATTCACCAGCCATTACACATCCAGGGGTCTGAGATGCCTCTATCCTAAGTTCAGAGTGGAAGTTGTGGGATCCTCAATGGGAATTTTCAGAGAGCACCCTGATGGACTGACCAGCATCAAGTTCCAGTGAAAGTCTATCAATTGAGCCACTAGGAGGCTCAGTAGGTGTTGTACTTCACTGCACAATGACTGAGTAACTCAACTTCAGGTTGGCAGGAGGACTGTAAAAATGTCCGAGTGATCAATTCACCTATGTTTCATTGCATCTCCTTCAGGTTTAAATCTGGTTGCAGCACTCTAGGGGACTGTGCAAGTAAGAGTGGACTATTATCCTTCCATAACCCTTGGGAAGGTTAAGATGGAGGCAACATCTAAACCTGTTGTGC